TCCTGATACTGGACCAGGTAATGTATGATATATTTGTCTGATAGGCTCTTTTTCTTCTTTATTTTCCCCTAGAGGACTCCCAACATTGTAAACATGATTTGCTCCTTTTTGGCAGGGTTGCATGGCACACGTCAAGAAGAAATGATTGATCATAGGCTAACAGACAGAGAATGGGCAGAAGAGTGGAAACACCTTGACCATGTAAGGGCTAAATGTACTCTTGCCTTGTATAATTGTCTGAAAGGAGCCCTTCTATGACAGGAATTTAAACTTTTTCTTTTAAAACAAATCTGAATCCCTGGATAAGTTTTGAAAACATTGGTGATTAAATCTAGGGGCTTGATATTCCCCATTGGGTAGCTCATATTAGGCCTTGCTGTTCAAATGCCTGTTGCAGTATCCTAAATATTACAGACTGCCAAAAGGGGAGCGGACACTGCTCCGTAAACCCTGGATCTGGAACACATGACCTTCACCCTTAGTGCTGGTGGATTGGATTTTTTTCTTTGAATTTATTGGCTCTTATAACATTTGTAGGCATCAGTTCTGGACCAGATCTCCTGTTCTCTGTGGTGCCGTGTGATACTAATGGTGGGACTGCAGTCGGTTCAGTCTTTTCCTCCTTGTCTTCTCCCTTTCCCCTAGAAATCTGTACCTGTACAGTTTAGGAACGCCAGTTAAAACACGAAGGGATTGTCATTCTTAAAAGCAAAGCTGGAATTTTTCAGCTGTATTTGAAATAAGAGGGAGAGACTTCTTCATTCTTAAAACCCAGGCACTTGACACATTAAAGTTTTCTTTATTTTTCTGTCAGTTTATGAATAAAATGTTCTTTTTTCTTTCTCTGCTCCATCCATCACTGTGAATAGCTGTTAAATTGTATAATGGACATGGTGGAAAAAACTAGGCGATCTCTCACTGTACTACGGCGATGTCAAGAAGCAGACCGTGAGGAGCTTAATTACTGGATACGGCGGTACAGTGATGCGGAAGATTTAAAAAAAGGTGGTAACAGCAGCAGTAGTCATTCCAGACAGCAGAGTCCAGTGAATCCAGATCCAGTTACATTAGGTACAGTATCCTCATTAAAAATTCTTTATCGATCCTGTTTCAGCTGTGACAGTGACAAAATACTCCCCTTTGTGACAACTGAATTAACTGTAATTCTTATGCCCTAATAGTCATGTTTACATGTGAAATGGCTTGATGGTCTCGATGATGCTTGATAACTTGCTTTCCATTCAGCAATACCTGACAGTGGTGGGGTGGAAGGACAGACTGTCACTTCCAAGACTTAACTTGAAAATTGTCTTTTCTAAGGAAATGAAGGGAGATACAAAGATACGGGCTCTTCTTAGCTGTACCTGGTTTCTGCATAAGATCTGGGATGCCCACAGCCCTGCACACATGATCCTCCTAGGTCTGTGTCCAGCGCTGCAGCTCACGCAGGTGTTTTCTGAGCTAGTTTGGGTACTGCTTACTGTGTAGTTACACAGCTCAAGCTGCAAAGCCCACTTACAAGGAGCAGACCAAGCAGTTGGACTTTCACCCCCTGCAGATCTCATAGTCACACTCACACAATAGTCACACGCAACTCCTCCATGATGACTCTGCTGTATAAAAACAAGCTTTTATTTTGTAGGCTTTCTGTAGTTTATTAATAAGTTGGCCTGCTTCTACCCTATCCACTCGCTTTTACAGCAGGCGTGGTAAAGAAATGCATCTTGGCGATGCCTTTGTATTGTTCTCTTCTCTTATGAACAGAACAACAAACTATGATTGCTTGTCTAATATTTATCTTTAAAAAAATAACTTGTCCATATCGAATGCCATCTACTTAAAATCATCATAAAACTGTGGTCATTAGTAGAATTGAATGTGTGCGTTATTTTGAACTATATTTTATTTAAAGCTGTGTTTTCCTTTTGCCCTTAAGAATAACTTATTAAATCCACAACTTAATTGCAAATAGAAAATCAGAAAAACAAAACTAATGTGCTCTCCATCTTCCTCTTGGTAAATCTCTAGAATTCTTACTGTAATATTTAGTGCCTCTTGATAACAAATGTACCTTTTTTTTTGTTGTTGTTGTTTGTGTCAAATGATCTGAGCCAATAGCTCTATAAATTAACCTCAGTCAGTGAAAAGAAGGGTTGTGGAAATGCTGTTCCCAACTTCACTAATCAGTCTAGTCCCTAGAGGAGCCCTTCTCAGAAAGAAGCATTCAGGTAATGGCTTGTATGAATAGTGTTAAATGTAATGTAAAGAAAGACTCATAAATATGGCATCTGAAATGTTGATCACATCTGCAGCTTCGGGAAGAACACTTGTGAGGAAGCCCCTAGATCAAAAGCAGTGGCACCCTTTTCTAGTAAAGCTGTGATGCAAAAAGAGCTGGGCCACGGTGCTTGTAAGTATAGTTAGTAGGTTAAAAAAAAGAAAGGAAACTTGAGTTTTTATGATTTCCTCAAAGAAACTGGAACTCAAGACATTCATCAAAACTTCACAGATAGTAGTACACTCCAAGAAAAATAGTCATAACAACAGCAACAAACAATAAAATGAAGATCAAACATACAATTAAATCCCTATATTATCATTTTGTTTGTGTGCTTGTCAAGATGAAGTCTTGAAAACAGCAAAGTCTGTCTGCTTAAAAAGACATTATACAGGACAGCCTTTGGCACTGGACACACCAGTCACCTCTGCAGTACTGTGGGTACAACTGAACTGGTTGGAGTGAGTCCATTTCAATTTTAACACATCCATTTTGGTTATTTGGCTTTAAAAACTATTTCTCTAGACTCATAGATATGAAAATTGGGTCTCATCAGTGATGTAGCATCCATGTCAGTTGTAAATATCGATAAGAAATGCTTCTATGTCTTGACATGTAAGGCAGAAAATAATTTGGAGTCTGTGAAAAGGTAATCCTTATATTTCCTCAAATCTGGTAGTGATCGAGTTAGCAAAATGAAAATTCTTAACATTCAGAGGTATGATAGAACTGAAGTGGTGTCTGTGAGCCTTGAGACACTGTTCTGCGTAGGGCTTTTTATTTTAGTTTTGAAGTGAGGAGGAATGGGTTGGAAATTTCCTCCAATATTTTAATTAAAGTGCCACAACATGTAAATATTTTTTTTTGCTGCAGGGATCTAAATGTCAGTGATTCCCCTTTGTACTTTTTTTTTTTTAAACAAGGTAATCCACCCTTTAAATCCATTTTGTCATCTCCACTAGCAAGAGGAAAAAAAAAAGAGGGCCATATGGCTACATTGTCTGTGCCTTTGTTTCTTTTTCTTTAAGATTAAAATATCATCACTGAAGTGATAAGTTCTCACTATAAACATTATGCCACGATCTTCATAGATAGCTCTTGCTGAAAAACTCTGAGCTGAAATTTGACATAGATAGTTTGAGTCCAAAAGAAATTGAAGAAAATTCTGGTCGTCATTTTGAACCAGCAGATCTTTTGTTCTGCCAAAGATTTTTGTGCTTCTTTTAATTTGACATCCCTGTAAATAATGTTGAGCTTGACAGTTCACAGAATCTGATCAATATTTTTTGGTTGGGATTTTTGATTAAGAAATCAAGTGAAATATTTGATCATTCATTTTAATGCAGTCTAATCCAATACACGCATTAGCCAGCTACAACAGGTTACAAGCTCTCATTATTCTCCGAGACTGTGTTGAAGGTAAGATGGGTCCATTCTTTTCAGTCTGAATAATACATGTTTATGAAAGTCTAAAAATGACTCAGACTTTATATATATTCACTTGATGAGCTGTGATGGTCTATGAAGTGAATAATACATCATCCGACTCCTCCATTTCTGCTGAAGATTTTCAGTACTACATACTGCAGCAGGACTGCAACTTTCATCCTAATAGTGAATAATTACACATATCAGACACTGTATACTGAAATACACACAGTCGGATAAATTAAAGATGAGGGTTCTTCAACATTGTGGGTTATAAACAAGATCTATAACGTTACTGAGTGCAGCTGTGGCTCTAGATAAGTGGTGTAGGCACACATCAGAAGGTCTGCAGCGATGTTGATATTTTGTGTCTGTTGAATTTATCTGAATGGAAATCTTACAAAACAGAGTTTGAAATCTCCAACTGAAGAGTGCCAATACCTGCAGGATTTGCCCCAGGAAGCCAGGTTTCTCAGAAGTATATTAATTTGTCAGAAAGACATAGGTTAGCCATTTCTTAATACATTTTTAAATGTTAACCCTTTCAGGGCTAGTTTATATTTAATCAAAGGTTGTTCACCCTCATACTTCCCGTGTTAGCCAGGGCACGATATATGTCTGTTCATGCTGCGATTATAAAATCTTTCCTTTGCCATTTGCAGATAATCAGCATTGCTGTGATATGCATGATATTCTCAACATGAGCTAATGAGAACGCTGTGAATACCACAGTAACATCTATAACTTGTAATCCTAGAATATAAAGCCTCTGTAATACTGGTCACTGATGATATTAACTATTGGTCTTAATCTACTCGCTGCATGGGAGGTTTGGGCTGGATTGTGGCGTACTGAATTGCATGCTGTTAGGTAGGGCTACAGCTGTAGAAATATTGTGCATTTGTATTCTCAATGTTCATTTCTGACCTCCTTGGGACTAGGGTCACTTTTATCCATTCCTTATACCACCTTTGCTACTGTCATGCTTCCCAAAATACTTCATAGTTGGCATAAAAGAGAGAAAAATTCTCGCTGCTAGTTATTGGAAGTTTGATCTTGGTTGAGGATGATTCAGTAGTTTGGTACCTGCGTGGTTTTTCTTTCTTTATTTGTTTTAAATGAAAACACAACTATATTTTTAACACAATTTCACATGTGTTCAAGGAGTGTTTAATAACCACAAAAGTGTATTAGAGGGCAAAGATGTATGCAAGAATACTTGAAACTCGCGCCCGCCCAACGTGGTTAGCAAGGAAGTCTCATTCAGTATTACACTTCTTCAGATTTGTATCTGTATATTTCATTAATTTGAGTGGCACACTTTTGAGCTTGACTCTTACAAACAAGGCAATGAATATTTGATATGTTCTTGAAATAAATACACCAGGGCTTATATGGAACCCAGCACCATATTGTGACAATAGGATTTTTTGTGGTGAATGTTTTCTTTCTTGTTTAAAAAATTATCCAGGATAGACTAAAAATAGTACTTTTTCTATATATTTTACGAAATCATATATTATGTTGTTCCCTGCTGTTCAATAGAATGTGAGGCTGAAACTGAGACCAATTTTTCTGTCTTTTCCTCATGTGTTGTTAGGTCCCAGTCCAACAACTTCCTTGCCAAAAAGTTTATTTCGCATTAAAAAAGAAAATTCAAAAAACATTTTAAATTTAAAAATCTATTCTATTTTTACTCCATTTAAGCTCTTCACAGTCACGTACTGGTTACTCCAACGTATATGTGCTTTTTATTTTCCTTGTTGGGCTTTTTCATCAGGTTCAGTAGGAATGGGACCTATTATCAAGAAGTGCTCTCAAACCATGCCTTGCCATGAATTTCAAGTAAATTTGGTAGTGTACATCCCCATGTTCTGCATAATAACATTGTTGCATTTTCACCATTAACAAACCTTCATATTATGCCTGACATGTAAAGCCTTTTCCGTTATCTTTTCCTGTATGAGCTGCCTTGCCGCTTCAGGTTATTCCTAATTTTGTCTGATTTCATTCCGTTTCCTTCCAAGCAGAATTTACTTTGACTTCTAGGTGCTGCAGTCAGTCAGTTAATATAGTGCATTCTTCCTCATGATGGCTTTTTACAGTTGGTTTTACATTTAGTATTTTAGAGACTTCACTCAACAGTATTACTTTTGGTTTGAGTTTGCTAGACATCCAAGTTAAGATCTTTCTGGTTTACTTTTAGTGAGCAAGTTCTGTGATTTTTAATCTGAAGCACACATTACTGTAAAAATAATAATAAAAATATATACAACTTATATCCTCTGGTCATATCCTGTAGATTAGCCCCCAGAAGAAGATTGTTTTCATGGACTCATCACCACTGACTAAACAATAGTCATGTCAGTAATATTTTTCTTCCTTGGAAAATATGTTTTTTATTATCTTCCTAAGTGCTTCTTGTCTTTTTTTGTGTGCCATTCCAAACTATGGGAAAGTCTCTCATAAGCTCTTGATTTAATTCTTGCAGAGGATCTCATTCCTCATGTAAATAATTTGTGGTTGGAATAAGAGCTTGATTGATGTTTATGTTTTGGAAATTTTAACAATTAGCTGGCAATCTGGTCATTTATGTCATTGAATTCCATTTTTGGAAAGTCACGTGTACTAAAAAAATCAGCTCCACGTTCTCTTTAATACTAAGTACCACGGTGAAGGGCTTCAATCAAAGTTACGATCCCCTTGCAGTGGATGGTACCTTAAATAGCAGACAAGAAAACCCAACACAAAATAAATGAATGCAACAAATCCCTTGTTTTGCCACATTTGGAGCCTGGTTGTGTCTTTTCGTGCAGGTGTTGCAGGAAAGCAAATAAGAGAGGTTTTAATTTTTCGCCTTTAGTTTTCCTGAGCTTCCAAGCAATGTTTTCTGCTGCTGCCTCTGTCCCTGACTGAACTGGCACTGCTCCCGTAAGTCTAAAAGCCTCCAGGGGATGCGAGAAGTGTACACAATGATATATGTCATCTCCAGAATCATATGAGCCAAGTGATACAAGAATTTTCCTGTTTTCAGCATCAGGTCTGAAGTCCTCTGTCATGTCAATTAAACCCATGTAAATAGCTGTTTTGCAGAATCTTGCACACACATTTACATACACACACACACACCCCCCCTGCCCCCCCATCATTTTATGCTCGAGAGGTGTGAAATTCTGCCTACAAAAATCCGGTTTATTTTCATCCCATACTTTAGTGACAAACAGAAGAGCTGGGGAAATCCGCTCAGCTGCCTGTCAGATGGGAAGATTCAGTCTACCCCGCTGGTGTCTGCAGATTCATGTGCTAGAAACTGCATCTGTGGAACAGTGCGCAGGGACTGGGATTCCCTGCTTCTGCGTAGCTGAAATGGCCCCGGTCATTTCCACCTCTGTTAGCTGTCTGCAGTATTAAACATCATATTGTAAATTTATTTTAAGTTGCTGTAGCCTACTGTATATAAACAGCACGGCATGCATATGGATGGTGGTGTAAAAACCAATTTGCAAAACCTAATGATTCAACCTTTTTCCTATAAATACTACTTTTTGACCAAGTTAGCAAATAATAACTTTGAGATACAAAAATGAATACATTTAGTAAAAGATTTCAAAGAATGACATGTACTTTCGTTATGTTTCAAACTCGGACATCAAACAGGATGTTTAATTTCTAGCAAGATCTCTAAAAAAATGCAAACCTCATCTCTAATGTAATAAATCAAGTGATTTTATTTTGACAATTGAATTTGGTCACACAGGCAATATTCATCATGGCAATGACCTTACCTTTATGTTTTTTCTTTTTTTTATTTTCTCCTCTATTACTTTGAGAAACAGTTAATCGGGTTTTACATTGTATTTAAAAAGAGCAGCTTTTCATCTGCTGAGAGTCTGTATGCTAAATTTCAGGCCAAAGTGAATTTTCTTTCTGTATTTTCTGATCTTGTGTCTTTGAAGTCCGTGTGGAAGGGATCTTGCTGATTTCAGAGCTCTTAGGCTCAGGCCCAGAGGTTAAACCCTTTAAAAAAAGAGGAGGGGGGGAAAAGCTGTCAAAATGGGATTGAAATATATGGGTGAATTACGAGCTTCAGCTCCAGTGAGGTTGTTTGGCAGCATATGTATTTAGGGGCTTAACCTAAAGTTAAAGGTTCTGTTTTTCAAACTCGAGCAGCTACAGTTGCCAACATGAGCTCAGATAGAGGAAAGCGTAGCTCTGAATATAGAAACACCCCTTTCTTTTTCTGTGGACAGCTTATTTGATCACTGGAATGACATCTTGGCTTTTATCTCCGCTCGTCAGTAGCCATTCTGTTCTCACGGAGCACAAGTGCGAAATGCGGACTGTCGCCCTCTTTCTTCTTCCTTTTCATAAACATAATGACAAAAAGGATGAAGCTTGTTACTCCCTCAGCTGGTGTTGCAAAGCCAGCCTTAAAAGCATGGAAACTGTCATATGGACTTGCCTTGAAACTCTGTAAAATAAAAATAAAGCGAACTAGTCTCAGCTTGGCTTGAGATGAGGCATTTGAGTCCTAAACGTTGATCTGGTCTATGTGACATTCATGAGCTACGGCCACAGCATCGTTTTATTTTGAGTCGAGAAAAACTTCATGTGATTCTTTTTGTCCGAGCGATAAGTAAAGGGAAAAGGTATTTCTCTAAGTCCTGTTCTCAACAAGCAAGCATTGCTTACATGCTCTTTCTTTTTCCCTCCGCACCCCCTCCTCCTGCAGAATCGCATCGGGAATTCCTTCACAGGCCTGCGTCTGGATACGTGCCAGAGGAGATCTGGAAGAAAGCTGGTAAGAACTGTTTAAAAACACCAGCTTAGTCTTCTGGCAGCTGTGTGCAGTTGTTAATGCACTGATGTGAGGAATGGCAAAAAAAAGGGGGCGGGGGGACAAAAAAAAAGGGCTTACTACTAACAAGAAGAAATTGTGTTTAATAATCTTAAACTGGAACTGATCAGGACATGAAATAATCTTTATAATAGAAGCATCTGCTGCTACAGTTAGGGGGATATCAGTACTTCCATTAAGGACCCCTATTTTCAGGGGTTAAAATGGTTTCAGGCTTAAACTTGATAGACTAAAGTTTCAGTCTGTTAGCAATTTTTAAAAAAAAAGTTTGTGTGGGTTTTTGGGGTTGGTTTTTTTTTTAAGCTTCAAGGTTCTTACCTACTTAAAGTCAGAGTTCCCAAAGGAGGGGAAAAAGCCGAATTATACCTGTTAAAGAAAAGCTTTCAGCTATGCAATGTAACCATTATTAATTTTAAAAAGATTTTGTGCCTGTCAGCCCCGCAGTGAAGTCTGTGCTCATAAACCTGCAGAGTTTTCAATGAAATAAGTGAGATCGCATCTCTGCAGCTGCTCTGAGTGGTTGCAGGGGCATTGACAGCTTCTTCCCCGAGTTTGAAAAGCACCACGGGCAGACGTTGTGGTTGTGCAGAGTTTTCTTCAAGACTTTGAAACTCCGCCTGAGCACAGGAGTTTCCTGGTGAGGATCCTATGGTGGTGCTGGAACTAAACCTTTGCTCTTTTGACATCGATATCAGAGCTGCCTTGTTTTCAGAGGGGCCAGGAGGTAGCTCTTGAACTCCAGCGAGGTAGTTGAGCTTCTATCTGCACATTCATACACACCCCCTCTTTTGAACACCTGTATAACCATGAAGTCTCCTGCAGCTGTCTGAGCAGGAGTTAATGATTCAATGGCAAATATGCAGCAGTTTGGATGCTTTCTGAGCAAATGTCCTGTCACTGCTTGCTGTTTTTTGGTGTATTTTAAAGTAGATATAGCACATACGTGTAAAAATGTTATGCTGGCATATTGTTATATCAGACAAGAAGTTGTGTTGTTTGTGTGATGTGGGTTTATCACGTGAAGTCTACGTTTGTCAATAGGTTAATTAATATTTTTGGAACTGTTGCATTTTCTATGAAAAATAACAAAGCAATTACATATTTTTCTCTTGTCCAAGGAAAGCGTAGCCTATATAACTCAGTACCCAGAAGTATTTTTATAGTTTGTTGTGCTATGTGACAAATGAGAAAAAAATTGCATTATTCAGTGGAGTTTCAGGAACTTTATTCCTCTTGCAAAAAGTAGGTTTTGATGTTGTTCGGCATATCGGGTCATTTATGACTCCTAGATGCAGTACAATAGCAGAAAAACAGTTTCTTCATAAGCTAGCAGTACAAGTTTATTGAAGCTTTTGGCCTGAGTTATAAAATTGGATGCACATTCACATTGTGTATATCCACAAATGGTATTATAAAGGAGCTGTGACATGTCATTTTATGACATATATGTCATCAGTTCCTTTGAAACAAAGTTTTTCCTTTGGTCCCATTTCTAGTCTCTATTTTCATGCTGCTGTGGGTTTAAATCAGATTCCCTGTATTAACTGAGCATACGTATGAACTGGAGAATGAAAAAAGTCTGACTTCCTACAGGATGCATACCTGTATCTATTACTAATGGTAGTAAAACATCAGAAAGCATACTGCTTTTCATAAATCACGGGCCTTCATTTTTCAGGAAGGTGCACTGAAGTTGAAGGTCTCCACAATTTCATAAGCAGCTCAGTGCAGGAAAGGTGCAATTCAGCTCTGTAAGAATGGGTCTCTGGTGCCATTTGAGGTGCTCTGTAGTTTCCTGGCTGGGCTGCAACTGCCGGTCAAGAGGCTGCAAATCTCTCACAAGTCATTTCTGCTGGCTCAGTGTGGATATCTTGGTATCTCAGATGTCCATAAAGACCAATGTGTAGACAGCTGAATCAAGTATAAAAGTCTGATTGGGATGCTGAATCCATTGACCTGAAAGAATTTGGCATAAAAATGGTTAATAAGCAACCTCAAAAGCATGTGAAAAAGGGATTCGCTTTCAACTTTTGGAGATTGCTAGTCTCCAGCGCAGTTCTTTAAATATATCAAGTTAAGCACGTGCTTTTGTGATTGTTGGAAGAAGCACACAGTATGCGGCACCTTGTGAATTAAAACCACGTGAACCCAATTCAGTGTCATACATCAGTGGAAAGTCATCAGTGACCTGATTCATCTCATTGAATTATGGGTATGTAGATGAAGAGTCTAAGCCAAGTTTTTGGTGTCCTCTCAGTCAAGAGAGAGGCAGGCACGAGGGTCAATCAGATCATAGGTTGAACAACTTGCTCTCTGGAAATACCTATTTCTGTTTATTAAATACTCAGGTAAACCCAGGCCCACTGTGGGCTGCTGCCTTAGCTTCTTGCTGTGTCATGAGGAAACGGTCTTTCAGCCATCTCCTATCACACAGCAAGGCCTACAGATGGTGGCAGTTCTGGACTAATGAGTTACCGGTTACTCAAGTTACTTAGTGGAATTAAGCTCTGGACTTACCAAACAGGTGTGGAATGACCATACTTTGTCAAAGACAGTAAAGGTCCTGCACATTCTCCAGGGGAGTCCTGAGAAAGAAATTGTGCTTTTTGGAGCAGGAAGCCAAGATAACTCATGTCACCAGCTCCCAATGTCCTTCTTTGCCAGGATCAGCCTGAGAGTGAGAGGATGCAAAATGTCATGGTGGTACAGGACAGCACCCCTGCCCACCACTTTTCCTTTTTCATTGCGTGGACTCCCTTTGAGGGAGGTGACCAGGAGCTGGTTGGTGAATCATCATGCTGGGTTATATACAGGAGTGAATGATGAGTTGAGTACCTCTTCTGAGTCAGCTCCAGGGACCTCTGATCTCGCTGAGTAACGCCTGTTCCACACAGGCTCTTTGCTCCCTGGAGCTTCTCTCATGAGTTAGCACTGCTCAAAGGGAAAGAAGATTTCAATTGCATTTCTAAAAAGACAGGGTGAGTTTATGCCAAGAATGCTTAGCATTAGTGGAAAAATGGAGGATGCATGATACATGCATCTTAGATATCTGAGGTTTAAAACTTTGGGATCCATGTTTTCTGATATTGGGATCTATTCACTCTTCCTTTCTCGGTAAAAACAGAGAAGGGAAGAGTGCTGGTATCGTTCTTCTGGTTCATAGCTCAGTATCGCCAAGGCAAATAAAATCTCCTTCACTGTCACTTACAGCTTTTCCAGCACAAATATTAAGTTTTTATTGTTATCTGAAACTGTGAAGCCAGCATTCTATGTGTATAAAATATCTGTAGGTACTGGAAACATTTATTTTAAGACGATGTGCAGAAAATCAGTGATAGGAAATTTTGTCTATTTTATTTGGCTGTTCATTAGTTCATACAATATTGAAATAATGGTGGTGCCTTGTGACCAAAAAATGCCACATCTTAACTATTTGTTTTCACACTTAGTATATCACTATACAAATTCTTTTGTCAAAGGTAGTGGAAATACTAAAGTCCAATCCATAGTTTACGCCAAATAAAAAGTATCAGTACTTTTTCTTCAGCATCTGGCCCCATAAACACGTTTAGCACCTTCACATTCTCGGAAGCTTTGCAAAAAAATTACGCAATATAGAAATTATAATATAAGGTTCAATTTCTGTATTTAGCCTGAAAAGAAGTAGATTATGTAGGATGAAAAACTATAAAATTAGAAATTTCTGTAAAATGTTGCAGTGTTCTGCTTTTTTTTAAACTGGCATTTCTAACCACTGCAAACACCTCAACATAAGATGAAATTTATATGATGTAATGAAAGTGCATCATGCCATACAAAGATAATTTCTATTTGTAGCAAATATCAGCAAAGAAACCCACTTTGTTAATAACGGCAGTTCATAGACACAAAACGTCTGTATTTAAGTTGCCTCATTTTTATGAAAATGGTAATAAAATTGCATCTGTATGTTTGCCTGTGTATATTTCTTTTCTCACGATCAGTGAATGTTTGCAGTTGGTAATAAATATTCAAGCACCTTGCAAATGTCCTACCAATTCCCTTTGCTGATCTGTGTGTGCCTGTGGGACTAGAATAGGAATGCATAATTTAAATATAAATTGCCTGATTTGCATATACAATTAGTCTAGCTGCAGCTTTGATCGTAAGCAAAAATTATTGTCCTGTATTGCCACTTAGATAGAATTTTAATTCACCTTGAATATTCAAAGTAAATTAAGCCTTAGCTGTATGGTTGAAGGGTATGATTTTTTCCTCTCCTGAGGCTTTCCCCTAAACAACATTTATGGTAGGGTAATATAAGGGCATATTTTCAGCCTCGTAAAAATAAAGGCATAAGTTTTGTCTCTAAATTCCCCTCCCTTGAAAACTTCAGTTGAAACATCTCTCACGTTACATGCGCACGTAACGCACACACAGACAGACACATAGAATAACAGAACTCTTCTTTCATTTTAATTAATTCAGTTTTATTCAGTACATGACTTAAAGTAAAGTCTTTATTGTAATTTGCTTAATAACTAAAAATGGCGACTTCATGTGGTCCTTATTTTTTTAAATAACAACGCAGAGCTATGAGACAAAAACTCAAGAGAGTTATTGACTTAGTATCTGTACGCAAGACTTAGGTCTATGTGCATATGCATGCACACAAATACACGGGCTAAATACATGGACTAAAACTCAAACCCATAACACAGTTGTAATACTTAGATTTTAATCTACAGTAAAACATTTTTATTAGAAATCTGTGTTTTTAATTAAACAGAACATTTAATTAAGGTGGGTTTTAAGTGGATGAAACAATTAAGTGCAAACACTTGAATGAAACATGTCATAATTAGTTTTAATAGAGTGTTAATTGGTACTAGGTTTGCCAAGTTAATAATTACTGCTTATTAAATTTTCAATTAATCATTGTCATTTTGCTTTGAATAAAGATGAAAATTAGATAAACTAATTCAGGGGGAGGATGGTTTCCTTGTTAATTAGAGCAGTTAATTAAAAAAAAAAAGAAATTACTTGTTTTAGTTGTCAATTAAAAGACTGTTCATTAGTAAAATCTTTGCACTCTTCCTGCATCAAAACCCAAATAACTAATTTGTGACAATCCACGTTTTCTGGAATAAAAGATATGACGCTAGTAGATACGGAAGAAACGGCTCACAGTGACTTAGTGGTTTTACAAGGCGTGTGAAGGTTTGAATTTAGTGAAGCGGCGTGCTCCTGCTCGGTGTTAATTGCGCGCTGAAGCCTTGCTGGCTGGGGTGTGTGCTCCGGGGCTCCCCGGAGCCAGGAAGTCGAGTCTTCGCAGTGTAAACATGGGTTTGAAGGAGAGATCAAGAGGTCAAGTGAATGTTCATAAACAAATTTTAATTTTGGCTCGTAAAATTATATGTCCAGGAAAAGATATTGGACCAATGATTTAAATTTTTTAAATAAACTCTTGGGGATTTCTTAACATCATGTATTTATTCGTTAATATACTGGAAAAAAATTGTTAATGACTATAAATCCTGTCTTAACTTCCAGAGCTTAAAGATACAGTTTTGGAAAAGTCTGTAATATATGTCTTAAATAATAATTCTTGCCAAAGATATTCATAAACCTGGTGTGCTGCAAATCCAGTTTTCCAAGTAAAATGTTGAAAAAGATTACATAAATAACGTGCCAGAGATCTGAAATGTCTGTACTTAAAGAAGTACTGACCATGAATCAAAATAACAAGAATCATCACAAGAGTTAGAGGCTTGTGAGAGCTTTTGGTGACGGGGAGGTAAAGAAGCACCTGGGTGGTCTTGAGGATTCTTGAGGAACCAGGTTCCTCTGTGTCCTTCTTCTCAAAATGAAGGCTGTCTATATAACAGAGTATCTGCTGCATTTCACGCGTCATTCCTACGTACCCCGGTGCCAAACGTCCTGTGCTGATGAAGATTTCTTCCCTCCTTTGTAGAGGAAGCTGTCAATGAAGTAAAGCGTCAGGCGATGGCCGAGTTGCAGAAGGCAGTGTCAGAGGCGGAGCGGAAAGCTCACGACATGATCACTTCAGAGAGAGCTAAGATGGAGCGCACTGTTGCCGAAGCCAAGCGCCAGGCTGCAGAGGATGCACTAGCTGTTATCAATCAGCAGGAGGATTCAAGCGAGGTAAGGTCTTTGCTGGGCAGGCATCACCTGTGGCTGCAAACCGTGGGTGTATCTGGGCTAGCTTTAATCTAACCAGCACGAGCTATTCCTGTGACATCAGAGTTCAGCGCCCGCTATTAACTGTTTGCACAGTAGCTTTGGATGCATATTTCAGGTGTGTGCTGGGCTCCAAATTTTCTTGGCTATGTTGTAATTCGAGCCCAAAATAGGTAGTGACCTTCAGCTGCAGTCTCACCTTTTAACTGCTGTTCAGGGTGACGTATAGTGCACACGTTTCTGTTCTAATGTAGCTTTTCAGTAGCGCTATTTTAAAGCTCTTCAAACTACCATATTGAATAGATAACAAGATTGCTCGGTGGAAAATATTTCACGCTGAAATCTCATTTAAACAAAGAAATGATTCATTTAAGAGCTTGTAGAGCGAGGTGGCTAAAAGCTTGTCTGGAGGAAGTGTTGGATGTAGAAGCGATTAGCAAAAGATGATGGTTCCTGTAGGATAGAATGTGAATGTAGATTTGTGAGTGTTTCCTTATTTTGAATGTGTTGCTTTGGCTGCAGGGAATATTTGAGAGTTGAGGAGTGGGCAAACAGCACTCAGAAGGGAGAAAAATAGACTGGAAGAGCAACAAAGAGTAAAACAAGAATTAGCATGTTAAGACCTGATTTACTTTCAGACCTGAGCGTGGAAGCCTTGGATTGCTGCGGTACGGGACATCCAGCAGCACGACTGGCAGACAGCTGGGAGTGCGAGAGAAGTGTGTGTTTGACCAGTGCTGCAGCAGTCTAGATAGCAATTAAATTTTGTATCCATTACAGAAAAAGTGTCCCAAGTTAAAACCGCCCTTAAAAACAGAAATGACAAAGGAATGATGTCAGTTAAAAGTTATTTGTATATAATCTTCGTCTCTCAAGGCCACTGAAATGAAAGAACATGACTTTCATGAAGTATTTATTGTTCTTGTACTCAGCTTTTGGCTGTAGTAAACTCACTTTTTAATATAAAGTCTAAATGCCAGGGAGCTGGAAAAAGAGAGTAGATGCCGGTACCTGTTGTGTGGGGCTTTATGTTTGTGTACACTATTGTACAAGCACTTTTCGTGGGCTGGATGGGCAGCGCCATAGAAGAGTCACTTCAGTTGAAAGATGCAGATGAGCTAGCTGCAGCATGCTGAGAAAAACAGCAAAAGTCACGAGCAGATAAGTCAGTGGCATGCTGCAGTATGCATCTATAATTTGAGGGAGCGTAAGATTTTAATTCATACCAGGCTTCTCTGGAGATGAAAGACCATTGTGGGATCACTGAATGCCCAGAGTTTCTCCTTAATGTGTAGCAGATGAATAACAAGGAGACAAAAGGAATTGATTTTCAGCATCTGAAAGTTTCTCAGGAAGAAAGGGACTAGGGGAAGTGTATGTACCCTTTAAGTACTAACTGTTCCATTGTAGATTAAATGAGACATAAATTCAATTTATTGGCATTTTGTATCTGAGATACTCAAGGACATTTTTCCTGCACTGTGTTCATAGAAAGGGCATTTGTCTGACTTAGCATCATTAAAGAGCTGTCATTTTGTGTGTGTGTATAAACAAGAGACTCCTATTGTTAAACCAAAATTCCAAAAGTAAATGCCTTTGGAGGAAACTGCAAATTAAACCTGTTTAGTGACTTGATATAGTGTAGGCAGGACAGAGGAAGTACTTACGTGCCAATACATACAGCCCATTCTTCCACAAGCAAAACTCTACCAAAGGAGTGTGTAGAGAGTTTGTGTGCTATAATTCACTCCTGAGCAGTCATAGCTCTGGAAAAGGCTGTATAACAACAACCATCTTTGCTTCGTCTCCTGAAGAATTGCTTATGAGGTTGTTCAATTCTTGGAAACAGGATTTTTAAAAAAGGCAAAGAATTCTTTTAATTGCATTCTAATGAAATGTGGCTGATAGGGTTAAAGATGTACTCAGGGCTGTGCGTCCTAGGCCCCCTGGACCTAGACCAAACTACATACTTGGAGCTATTAAAAATGAAGTCTAGTGGCTGGGTCCTGCAGCTTTCACCCCTGTGGTCACAAGTGGCACATCAGAATGGCTGTTGTGAGGTGAAAAAATGCAGATTGTAGTAAATCTGCAGCAAGAACTCAAGTTTGCTCAGTTTGTGTTTACACAGGTGCTTGGTTAATTGTGAAGGGAGATGATTATTTGAGAGTTAGATGTGTCTATTAAGTTTTTATAATTAATCCCTCTTTGGCTTCTAATGATACCAAACTCCAACCACTTAGGCCAGTGATTTCCATGATTACCTGTTAACTCAGGCTGTCTTTTTTTTTAACAACTCCTGTAAAAATGGACCAACCTTTTCCTTTATCTTGGAGGACAGGAGATCAGTTTGCCAGTGTTGGAAAAGGGTTTCTTTGGAGATGAGACCTTGTGTTTATCGAGGTTGAGGAACAAACCTTCATGTTTGCTTTGGTGTCCATTATCTCTTGATCTCTCTGTGAACATCCCTCCTCATTTGTCTCAGTTATAAGTCTCCATAACTTCTCTCTGTTTACAACTCTCAGCAGTACGCTTCCAGCAACGCAGATTCCTGTGTACTAAAGGCACTGGAGTAATATTTCCAGGGCTAGAATATTTCCAGTTCCAAATATGAGAATGCTGAAGAGCAGCTTCTACAGTCTTAGAGGTCTAGAGGAAGGCTGAGCATCACTCCTCATTTCTTATCCTTGGTGGGACATTACCCCAAGGCCTGCAAGGGAGCTCAGTATAGGCTGCTGTATAATCTCCATGCAGCTCCTGACAGAGAATATTTCTCCCACGGGTGTAGTTTGTTCTTTTGGCTGTAGAAACTATGAATGGAGATGGGAATTTGGCACCAGATTTCTAATGTATCAGATATAATTTTGGTCTGATAGGGCCACTCCCTGTGTATTGGCAAGGTTTCTCCCTTACAGCTCTTCGTTTGTTACTCGGTAAAATACAACCTGGACCTAGCTGAGGCTTCTTGGAGCTGCTCTGGTGTGAGGACTTTGTGGCATGGTTTCTATTGCAGTCTTCTCCAGAGCTCAAAGTGGTAACTAGTACTAAACCTCAAGATTTTTGTAATTATTATAATTTTAAGATAATATGTAGTCTTCTCATCCAAGACCTTTCAGAGGTCTCACAAATAGAAGTAGATTGGGGTTTTGATTTTTTTTTTCCCCTTGGGGTTTTTTTGTGGTGGTTTTTTTTTTCCCCTCCTCTCTGGTTTTGGGGGGTGGTGGTTGTGTTTTGTTTTGCTTTGTTTTTAACTCAGGAAAAGTAGTATTCCTGACTGCAAGATTGTCTGCAAGAAAACAGTGAAGCTGGACGTGTTGAACTGACTAGACCAAAACAAAGAGGGCAGAGGACAGTGAGAGGACTAATAGGGGAGGCATGATATTTGGAAGCATCCTGAGTTTTAAGAAGTGGTCTGCAATATTCTGAGAATCAGCACATTACATAGTATAGTTTTAATTTCTGACCTGATCTGGTCCCTTGTTGAACTATTGTTCTTTGCTTATGTTTGAATTGTTCAGTATGATTTAATTCACAGTGCCACTGCTTCAGTCTCTGTGCATTTACTTTCTAAAGATTTCCATAATTTTTCAGCATAAGCCCTTGGAACTAACCAGAACATGTTCATTATTTTTTGTTATTCTAATGAGATTGGTTGAAGACCAGCAAACGGAGCACACTGCTGTTGGAAAGCAAAAGGACAGTAGAAGGCCTACCTGTCAGCATGGCTGTTCCTGAACCACGAATTATTTCTTTACCAGTTCCTTACAGTTGCTTGACAAAAGATGACCCATTCATCAGTAGTTGACTTGGCTAAGTACAGAAACATGTGTGAGCAGCCTACTCTTTAATGACTGCCGTGCTTGCTTTGGCTGCAACGTACTGTTGTGCAAATCAATTTTAATAGTGAGGGTGAACAGCTTAGCAAAGAGACCGGCTGCCTAGATTGTAGGAAGCAGGGGGAATCATCAAAACATCTGTCTTTTTGCTCTGGTATAAAATGCCACTGAAAAATCTGACACTCAGTGTTCTTCCTCACTTTTTAGTAGGGTGGGGGCTGGGGACGGGGAAGGAACACAAATGTTTCGGTTCTCTCTACTTAAAGCAGATGCTGACATCTGCTTATTTAAAACAAGTATGTAACTCGTCCAACACTGCTTTTAAGAGATGTGTAATGTTAGGGCTTGTTTATATTGCAGCAGTTTATGTTGTATGTGAATATCACAATTACCTGACAGTTTGAAGACAGCTGGGTTCAATCTCTGCTGACCAATCTGTTGAGACCAGGACTGTGCCAGCAAACCCAACTCTGAGCATCAGATGCTGTGATTCAGGCGAGCTTAGTTTTTAGGCTGGTATTGAATTTAATACATATGTCAGCTAATGTTTAATTTTTTTTGGCTGGGCATCTCTTAGAAAGTAGCACATCATCCCCTGCAGTGGTGGGTGGTACAGAGGCGCCAGAGCCATGTGTTCTGCGCAGGATCAGTCCAGATGTGATGTGAACATTGGCACTGCCCCAGACTCCTAAGCTAAGCCTGGCTAGCCAGCTTGCACGTCTCTTCCGTATGCTTCTCTCCACTTCTGTTTTCAAGATTTAGCTTCTCTCGTGCAGACTTGTATTAACAGAGATGTACTTCATACAATGAACAGTAGCTTGGGCAAGCCTGGAGCATTCAGTGATAGGTGTAACTTTACTAAAAGCATCTAAAAGTTTGAATGGAGCGCTGCATTTTGACGCAGCGTGGGAATTTCCAAAGTACCGAAGTGTTTCCCTTTCTAACAGGTCTTGCACAGAATTTTCTTAAACAACTTTGCTGGTTTTTTTCACTGGTGTTCAGTGGCTCATATGGTCTTCATTTACGCCACTGTGGTTTCACTGATTTCTAGATGTTCTTTTTCTTGTGGTTAGCAGTGATAGAGTTTTGAATGCCATGGGATTTGCAGAACCAGGAAAAATCTGGGTTCTTAGTGCCCAGCCATGCTTCCTTTCCTGGTAAACTGGGGAAATCCAGAATTTGTCAAAGATGACAGAGCAGTGTTTGACACCATATTACGACATTTTAGAGTTCATCATCTCTTTGACGTGTCACAGTCCATTTGTTTTTTTTTTTTCTTCTTTAAGCCAGCTCTACACTAAGTCTCAGCTGGAGGTGTCAGAGGAAAGCAAATACTCAATTGTGGTTAAATGCATCAAAGATGAAAGTGACGGGATGGGCAAAATTACTGACAAGTATGTGTCCTGGTACTGGAGACCACAGAAATGGAGACCATTTGTTTTTAAGAATTTTCATGATGGCAAACAGAAGTTTCTGAGTTCTGTTGTTTGAAGATGGAAGCTTAAGTGCATGAGAATTCAGAGTCTGACCTAAGATAAGGCTCTGACCTAAGACTGATGTTCCTTGTCAGTTGAAAGAGGAGGACGAAATATGATCGGTGGCATAGATTCGGAGTGAGATTCCCATCTGGTGTAATTTAGCCCGATTTCATTGAATTAATCCATTTTCAAGGTAGTGAACTTAAATTGAATTATGTAGTCTGAGAATCTGGCCTTTTGTATAACCTCAGTGTTTCACAGGAAAATCAGTGCAGAGTTAAACTGTAATCCAGTCCTCCTCATAGTTTTAGCTACATCTGGAACTCTATAAAGCACAAGTTGGAAGTGCAGTGTAGTAGGTCACTACCTAAAGACGGAGAAGATAGACCAGGAGAGGCTTTGAGAGATCTGCTCCTCCCTTTCCCAATGGATGATCAACTCTAGCTGTATCATTCCTGTAAGATACGTGCTTTACCTGTGCTTTAGTGATGGAGATTCTCCAGTGACTCTAGGCAATTTGTGCCTGTCCTTAAAAAGATGTCTTATAACATCTCTTTCCAGTTTGTTTTGCAGATTTTTGATCTGGTTACTTCTCCTCTTCATCTGTGTAGACATGGTCATTGCCTGTTTCACTGCTGTAGCTTCCAAGATGTTTGGTTGCTGCTGTCCCCTCTCAGTCTCTCCTTAGGTTTAACAGTCTCAGTTCGTTCAGTCTCTTTTCATAGCTTGTGTTTGTCTGACCTTGGATTATTCTGGCTGCCTTTCTCTGGGTTCTTTCCAAGTCTTATTTGTCTTGTTTCTTTTGCTGTATTTGAAGTGCATCATCCCAACCCGGCCAGTACTCCAGGCTGAGCCTTGCCAGTGCTAGCAGTGGAGAGTTTTGCTGGGACCTGCTAGAGCTTCCCAGGAGGGAAGATACCTTCCCCGTGTTCAACCCGATAGTGAGCTCAAGCTCTGTCTGTGATACGTGGATCAACTGGAAATACGTGAGCAGGGGTGCACGAAGCATAGCCCAGGCCGTTAACTGCCATCTCGAGCCTGGCTTTTCTCCGATGGAATTTGGGCTCTGGAGCTATCAGCCAGCAATGTGAACAGAAATCATCTGTTCCCAAAGCTTGCGGTGCCTGGGCCTCACCTTTGCTGCTGTTTTTCACTACTCGCACGTGGGAAGGAGCAATGAATGGCCACGGTGGTGAGGTCAGGGAGTTCTGCACGTCAAATCGAGCTGCTATCGCAGTGCAAGGTCCCCATGGCATGTGTGCTTGTTTATGATAATTTGCAATAGTAATTTTTAAATCAAATAAGTTGTTGCATAAATGTGAGCTGTAAAAATTATTTTTAAATTCTTGTATTTTATGTGCTTTTATTCCCACAATTACACTAAAGCTGTAATGACCTGTTAGAAATAATTAGAAATAATACATCCAGTAGACAAAATCACATACCAGAAGATGAAGGGCACATTAAGTAATCATGTAAGGAGGCAGCTTAGAGCATTGCCACTTCATTAAAATCTTGCACTTATGTGTCACTTTTCATGTTCTGTACAGGCTGATAGTTAACTGATGACTATTTTAATAAGAAAGTTGAACCAATACTGTTAAAATTAAATGACTTTTCTGACATGAATATGGGTCTTGTGGTAAGATAGTGAAATATTGTCCAGTGGCTCTGGTCACATCTGGGAGACAGTTCTGCCTGTGTAGATAGGCAATCCTCAAAAGGGGAAGCAAAATGAAGATTTCCCAGAAGTTGGCCTATATGAACCAAATAAATAATCGAATAGAAAAAATTTGACATCCTCATAATAATTCCAGCACAATTAAAGCATGCACTTCAGTGTTGCTGTCGGATCTGCACAAGGGAAGGATTCCTGCACCTGGGCAGGTGCTGGTTGACTTTAGCATTATTCCACGTGGGGAAAAAGTGTCTTTTCAGAAAAGTCTGCGTGGGGAGGTTTTATATGTGTATATTTGATTTCAAATGAGAGGATAAAGGGAAATATGGGCCAAACCCAGGGCTGGCAGTTTAGATGGAAACAAATAGCTAGGAGGTTAGCAGGCATGGCAGTAGGTGGAAATTCTGTGCAAGCACAGTTGGAGCAGAATTACACCGTGTTCACTGATCACAATGTAAGCATCAAGCTGGAAAAATGAAACTTTTGCAAGTACAATGTGACTGTTGAGAAATACTAGTATAGCAAAAGAAGGAGAATCTAGGTATATTGCAATTTGTTCTCTTTCTAGTCAGGAGGATGAGGCATTGTATCTGTACTGCTAATGCTGAAATGCTAATACAAACCTGCCAGGTTATTTTGGTGTATGCGTAAATATGTCTGTGCATACACGTGTTCATTTACAGTGTTCTAAATTACTTATAGTTGGTTTTTATTATGAAGATAAGAGGTCTTTTAAAGAAAAAGTGTTCAGGAATAGTACAGCTATC